ACCTGAATATTATCAGCTATGGTAAGTCTCTAGGTGTGGAGAGAGAGAGAGAGAGAGAGAGAGAGAGAGAGAGAGAGAGAGAGAGAAATTTATGACTTCTCCAGGATCTAGAAAGGTGGGCTTTTCTAGGGTAGCATGCTTCTGGCTGGCATGCCTCATGCCTGTGACTTTTTGACTCTCATGGCTCTGGTGAGTAGCTTCCCTCTCTGTGAATTCTGAACTGAAGAACGCAAACACAGGTGGACATTCACATGTACCTGGCCTTTGCACATTTGTCACTTCCCTGAGGTCCCTGAGGTTCAGGCCATACCTTAGCTAGAGCTGTCTCTAACAGGTCCTATCACACACCCCCACCCCCTCTGCCTTCCAGCTCTGTGGGAATCTGACTTGTTTTGTTTGAGATAGTTCTGTTCTGTCTATAAACCCCGGGCATCCCTGAAACTATGTAGCCCAGGTTGTCCTCCTGCCTCAGTAGATGGTGCTAGGATTACAGGCAGGTTGCCGCCATATTCAACCTATTTTTTTGTTGTTTTCTTAAATTCATGGATCACCGACAGTCGGTCCCCAGGTTTGGAACAGGGCAGAATACTGGGGGTTGGGTGACTGTTGGCTCCTTCCTAAAGAGACAACCCTCCTCTGGCTTCTACTGGACGCCTGCTCCACCTACCCGACCCATGATCATGATACATGGGACAGACCAAATTGAGCCTCAGGGATCCCCGGGCGGGTAGCGCCCCCTGGTGTCGCCTTGCGGTCTGCGGGGCGGGGTGAAAGTGGGACACGAGGAATCGCAAGAGGCGTGAAACAGGCAAGACCCTCCCCGCCATACCATTCCCCACACCCGTGCGGACCCCAGTGAAGAAGCCTCTGAGCGCCAGCCAGGATTCGACCTCTCTCCCTCAACCCAGGCGGACTCAGCCAGCGAGGCCGCGCCGGGGAGAGGCCGGGCCGGGGGCGGCAGGCAGGAAGCGGCAGCATACCTTCCGCTGCAGGAGGAGCAGGTGGCTGCAGTGTGGCCCCGGCCCGGCTTCCTGTGTGCCCGCCCGCCGGCTGCAGTTTCCCGCCAGCGTCCTTGGGCCAGCGGGCCCTATGGCTCAGACCCCCGACGACATATCCTGTGAGCTACGAGGTAAGCCCTAGCCCTTCCCTCAAGCCCACTCGGCTTCAGATAGGTAGTCCTCAACTATAGATTCCCCCAGAGCCTCCGGTAACCTGACCAGAGGCTCTCAGTCCTTCTGGAGGGCCAGCACCTCAAGATCCACACTACTTTCTGGAGGACCAGAGTTGAGCAGCCCTCACTCAGCCTAACACAGAGTGATCCTGATGGGAAGACCGAAGTCTCCCAGTAGATTGTCTTTCCATAGGTGAGATAACCAGGTTCCTGTGGCCCAAGGAAGTGGAGGTGCTGCTGAAAACCTGGCTCCCCCAGGAGGGTGCTGAACGAAGCCATATCTTGGTATGATGGGCAGAAGTGGGGGACAGGAGGGTGACCTCCAGCACAAAGATGTTTGCTTTGCCCAGAATATCAGACTTTGTCTCCCCCAGGCACTGCTACGATGGAGGGCTTATCTGCTGCACACCTGCCTCCCGCTCCGGGTGAGTCCCATTGAGGGGCTGCATCTGCAGAGTTGTCCTTGCTCTTGATGACTTTCATTTTCCAACAGCACTAGGCTTACAGCAGCAGAGGGGAAGGGAGTCTGGGCTGGGGACTGCAGGCTGCACAAAAGCTTGAGCACCTAAGGCCAGGGCTCTGGCTTAGTCCCAGCTGATCCAAGTATTTTCTCTAGGTGGACTGCACATTCAGCTACCTAGAGGTCCAGGCCATGGCACTGCAGGAGACACCACCTCAGGTGAGACATTTCAAACCCTATTTGGGCCTACAACCTGATCTTTATCCCCTGCACATGGAGCTCTGAAGGAACACCAGCTTCCCCACACAGATCCAAAGCCCAACGGTCTCACCCTCCCCAGGTCACCTTTGAGCTGGAATCCCTACCTGAGCTGGTCCTGGAGTTTCCTGGTATAGCTGCCTTAGAACAGCTGGCCCAGCATGTGGCTGCTGCCATCAAAAAGGTCTTCCCTCGTTCAACCCTAGGGTGAGGCCTGGCAAACACAAGGGGTCAGAGGGCAACAGGAGATGCTCCAGGTGGGCATCAGTGAGCTGCTTTTCACCTCTTAGGGCTCAAAATCCCTTGCCTCTCCTCCTTTATCCCCTCCCTAGGAAGCTATTCCGGAACCCCACACCCCCCTCGATGCTGGCTCGGCTGGAGAGAAGCCATCCCTTAGAGTTCACAGCACCAAGCAATCCCTGTGGTAGGGACCAAGGAAGGCAAAGCTACACAGACCATCAAGCTTGTCCTCACCCAGCAGTCCTTGGAATTGGGGGTGGAGTTCCCAAACTGAACAGAGCTACTTGTGTCACAGCCACCATCTAGTCTGGGTCTGAACTTCTCCATCTCTGACTTTTTGTCTCTCTTTCCCTCCATCATATGCCTGGCATCTCCCTAGGTGGCTTCTTGGAGGCATATGAAGCTCTGTGTGACTACAATGGCTTCCCTTTCAGAGAAGAGATTCAGTGGGTAAGGGTAGAGCCCCTTCTAGGAACCCTGGCGATGTCTGCCCCACCCCCATGTGTGCTGAGCTCCTCCCCATGGTCCCAAACCAGTTGTGGACACTTTCTTCACATCCAGGATGTGGACACCATCTACCATCGTCAGGGCAGCCGCCATTTCTGCCTTGGAGACTTTAGCCATCTAGGCAGCCGGTATGGAGCCTGCCAGAACTGGGAGGAGAGGAAGAATCCAGGACCTCAGCCTCTCTATGGAGGGGATGCTGGGCCTAGGATTTAGCCAGAAGACGCTGAACTCCTACCCTTCTCCACACCCAGAGACCTGGCCTTGAGTGTGGCTGCCTTATCCTATAACCTGTGGTTCCGGTGCCTCTCCTGTGTGGACATGAAACTGGTAAGCATACAGAGCAGGGAGGGCCAAGGGTGTAACGGCCGAGATCCAGCCTACTGAGTCATGACCCTCTGGTCTCAGAGCCTTGAGGTCTCAGAACAGATTCTGCACATGATGAGTCAGTCTTCCCACTTGGAGGAGCTGGTGCTGGAGACCTGTGGCCTGAGAGGGTGAGGGGCTTGATCAGGGCTTGGGATTGGGGGCTAGTGGCCTGGGGAGTGATTGGGAATCCAAGGGATCAGTCTCACACCTGGGATCTTGCTCCTCAGAGACTTTGTTCGACGACTTGCACAGGCACTGACAGGACATTCTAGTTCTGGGCTTCGGGAGCTCAGCCTGGCTGGGAACCTGCTGGATGACAGAGGTATAGCAGGGCCTAGGGGACCCCAAGGCAGCAGGGAAAGGTGAGACTTACAAAGTTGCCCTATCTTCAGGTATGGTTGCACTCAGCAGACACCTAGAGCATCGTCCAGGAGCCCTGAGGAGACTTAGCCTAGCACAGACTGGGTTGACACCAAGAGGTGGGCTGGGCTGATGAGGAGTAGGAGGTGGGGAGTGGGAATGAGTCAACCTGATTGCTGAACCACTCCATCCCCCACCTTCAGGAATGAGGGCCCTAGGCCGGGCACTGGCAGCCAATGCTGCCTTTGATTCTACCCTGACCCACCTGGATCTTTCTGGGAACCCCGGGGCACTGGGGGCCTCCGAAGATAATGGAGTGAGTGGCAGTTTCTAAGATAAATTGGGGTTGTTCAGGCAGTAGGACGTCAGCAATCCGTAGACCTGGATCCCTGACTCCGGGACCACTGTCCTCTACAGGGCCTCTATACTTTCCTGAACCGGCCGAACGTCCTAGCATTCCTGAATCTCGCAGGCACTGACACAGCGCTAGACACTGTGAGAGGGTGATCGTGGGGGATGGTCCACTGGGCGGGGTAAACTGGTGGGTAGGGCGTGGGAGGGAGGTCTGGGTCCTCAGGAACATGTAGTCAACTTTGCCTTTCCTCAGCTCTTTGCAGCGCTATCTGGTGGCTGCTGCGCCAGCCTCACCCACCTCGACGCTTCCAGGAATATCTTCTCCCGAACGTAAGGGACAGCGAGCCCCGCCGGGAAGGAGAGGCTGCAGGGAATTGTCTTCCTGCAGCCAAAGCCCCACTTCTCTTGCTCTCAACCTCAGGAAGTCCCGAGCAGCGCCCGCTGCGCTGCAATGCTTTCTCAGCTGCGCGGAGACGCTGCGACACTTGGGCCTGGAGGGCTGCAAGCTGCCGCCAGAAGCACTCAGGTCAGTGTTGCTGCTGATGGCCACGCCTCCGTGTGTGCAGTCACCACCTTGACCAGACCTCTGGTGCCTCACCCTTCTCTCACACCCACAACCTCCCCCCACTCCATCCTGGCTCTGCCTTGGTTTTCGTTGGCGCCCTGAGTCCCCCTTTCCCAGATCTTGCCATCCCTGTGACATCCCTTCCCAGGGCCCTTTTAGATGGCCTCGCTCGCAACACGCACATCCGGGACCTGCACCTGAATCTCAGCGCTTGTGAGGTGGGTGCTGCTAGCTGCGAGCACCAGGCAGGGGATCCCACACTTTGGGAGTGGAGCTGGGAGGATGCAGGGGAGTGAGGATGTTGGCTGCCTGCTGTTCCCCACCGACACCTGAGGGTCCTTAGTGCGCCCCACTTCCACTTCCAGTTGCGCTCTGCAGGTGCTCAGGTGATACAAGACTTAGTTTGCTACGCAGGTGCCTTGAACTCCTTGGATCTGGCGGACAACGGTGAGGCAGCCCGGGAACCCATCATCCCCTTATTAATCACTGGGTTCCTGATTCCCACCCCACCCTGGCAGCATCGATTTGTGGGTCACCCTAGTTGTCCCCAGGCTTCGGCTCAGACATGGTGACTCTGGTGCTGGCCATCGGGAGGAGCCGGTCCCTGAAACATGTGGCCCTTGGAAGGAACTTCAATGTCCGATGCAAGTGAGTTCCCATCCCATCCCCTCAGACAGCACTCCACCACCCTGGATACCCCTAACAGCAGCCTCTGCCCACAGGGAGACGCTGGATGATGTCTTGCATAGGATCGTCCAGCTCATGCAGGATGATGACTGTGTGAGTTTGCAGGACCTTGTGAGGTCCTCAAGCAATAGACTCTTCTAATTTTTCTCACTTTTGCCTCCTCTGATCCTCTTTGATGAACCTGGCTCCAATCATCAATAACTTTCTTTTAATCCCAGCCTCTGCAGTCTCTATCTGTGGCTGAGTCACGGTTGAAACAGGGTGCCAGCGTCCTGCTCCGGGCTCTGAGCACTAATCCTAAACTGACAGCCTTGGATATCAGTGGCAATGCCATGGGGGATGCCGGTGCTAAGATGTTAGCTAAGGCTCTGCGAGTCAACACAAGGCTCAGGTGGGCAGGTCATTATAAGGGGTAGGACCATTAGGTATGGGGTGTACTGGATTAAGGGGAGCAGGTAGATGGGATAGATGAATAGTTAAGCCCAGAGGGTTGAGTGGAGCCCTACAGGGCTCCACCCCAACTGAAGTCTGGTGGGGCCCAGGTCTGTGACCTGGGACCGGAACAACACATCTGCTCTGGGCCTGCTGGATGTGGCACAAGCCCTGGAACAGAACCACAGCCTGAAGTCTATGCCTCTGCCACTGAACGACGTGACCCAGGCACAGCGCAGCCGCCCAGAGCTGACAGCACATGCAGTCCATCAGGTGGGGGTCCCTTTCTGCTTTCTACTTTTTTGTGTGTCCGTCCCCTGGCATTTCTCAATATATCTTGACCACAGATCCAAGCCTGTCTCTTGAGGAACAACCGTACAGACCCTCCTTCTTCTGACTTCGAATCCCGACTTCAATCCTTGGGTCTGATTTCAGACTGCTCAGAGCAGGTCAGTATTCCTTTCTTCCACCTTTAGTACCTGGGTACCATGAATCTGAGCATCTGGCTTTTCTGGAGTCAGGATGCCCAAGTCCTGTGTCCCAGGCAATTCCTTCTTGTTGGTCTGGAGTTAGTCAACCAAAGATCTGCCTGCCTCTGCTTCCCAAATGCTGGGTTAAAGGTGTGCACCACCATGCCCAGCATCAACCATTTTTTGAACAGCTCCCCAGAAAATACCCTTGGGTGCCTCACTTTAAGCATTTTAAATAGACTCTCCAACTTGTAGTCCTGTCTGACTTCCCATTCACAGGGTTCCTCTCTTCTCTCCACTGACCTCTTATGTGGCTAGTTCCTACAGTCCCCTTTCCCTCCATTAACCTGCCATTTTGAGATATTCTTGCCTCTCCATTCCCAAGCCTCAATTCTCAACTAAGCTCTGAAACACAGCTACCTTGATCCACACATCCTGAGGGGTGGGCATCATGCACTGCACATCTTCAAGTGATCTTTTTTTATTTTTACTACATTTATTTACTTGTTTATTTATATGTGTGAGAGAGAACAAGCATGTCTGTGCATGCCATGGTGTGTATGTAGAAGAAGGTGACAAGCTGCAGGAGCTGGTTCTCTCTGTCATGTGGGTCCTGGGGATCAAACTCAGGTATCAAGCTCAGCAACAAGGTCTTTTAACCTGCTGAGCCATCTCAGGCCCTCAAGTGATCTTATCATCTTTCATAAACTCCATTCTCTACCCTAGAGCCCAGTTTATCTGGTGCCATACTACCAAGTGTTGTGAAGAGAGATTGGGTGCCCCTCCTGGGCACATTGGAACCTTCACAATTCTTCTTGGTCTGCCTCTGGAGCTCTCAAATATATAATCCTCACCCCATACCAACTGTCCTTTACTTTCCCAGTTCCTCCTTCGTATTCATATTCTCTGTCTCTGTCTATCTGTCTGTCTCTCTCTCTCACACACACGCACATCTTTGGTGTAGATGGTGGACAGTTTTTAAAACAGAGTGACCAAAAGCTTCTTTCCTTGCTCTTCTAGGCATTTAGGAAGTATCAAGTCCCTAAAATAACCAAAAGGAAGAGACACTGCCCTCCCTCCTTGAACAGATACTTTCCTAAGCATCTTGGTTGATTGTCTTCCCCCTATCCCCCATCTTGTCAGCGACCCTGGGAGAGAGGCAGGCGAGGTTAGTGAGACTGAGAGGGGACAACACTGGGACTTATCCATGATTCTCCCCAGGAAGTGAATGAACTATGTCAGTCGGTGCAGGAGCATGTGGAACTGCTGGGCTGTGGGGCTGGGCCCCAGGGTGAGGCTGCTGTGCACCAGGCTGAGGATGCCATCCAAAACGCCAACTTCTCTCTCAGTGTGAGCACTCCCTTTCTCACTATGAGGACCTTCTTCCTCCTAGTCATGTGTCAACTTTTAACTTGTTCTGTTCCTTGGCTCTCAGATTCTTCCCATTTTATATGAGGCTGGGAGCTCCCCAAGCCATCAGTGGCAGCTGCAACAGAAGCTGGAGGGCCTCCTGGGCCAAGTAAGTGAGGTCTGCCGCCAGGACATCCAGGTGAGATGCTACTCCTGCCCCAGCCCCACCTCCATATGCAGGTTTGACCCCTATTCTAAAGACTTGACTGTGATCCTTAGGCAGTGGGAAATGGGGCTCAAACCCTCAAGCCAAGGCGTCACATTATCACTGTTCTATAACCTTTGCCCAGGACTTTACTCAGACCACACTGGACACAACAAGGAGCCTGTGCCCACAGATGTCAAAGAGACCTGGCTGGAAGGAGCAGCTAGAGGAGGTCCTAGTTGGTTCTAGGGGTCTCCCAGAACTGCTCTCAGAGCAACTGCTGCAAGATGCCTTCAGTAGGCTCAGGTAAGCAAGAGAGACTGGGCTGGGCAAGGCTGGACAGAGCCAACATACTAACCCTCATCCTCTCCTGCCCTCAGGGACGTGCGCCTGTCAGTAACAGGGATCCTGGCAGAGAACATTGTAGCTCAAGCTCTGGCAGGTCTGAATGAAGCCCGAGATAGACTGGTGAGGGGAAGCTATGCATATATTGCAGAATGACCTGTCCCAGGGGGCTCTGTAATGGTTTCTGGGGTCATATAGCCTACTAGGACTGCTACTTCAGAGTTTTCTTAGATCTGCCAATCTTTGGATGGCCTGGTATTGCAGGTGGAGAGTCTGGCTCGGCGGGCACCAGTGACAATACCCCTTGCTGTATCATCACTGGGTGGAGATGAGCCCAGCCCCCTTGAATCTGGGGAATTGGAAGGTCTTTTCTTCTCTGTGGAGAAGGAAGAGGAGGGAGAGAAGGTATGTTGTCTACAGAATTCCAGGCCTAGAACTCCAAATCTTCCCTCAGTGTTCTAGGATATGGAAGATGGGAAGCAGTTCTAGGGTTATGCCCCACCCCCAACCATAGGCTGAGGTTGTACTCTTCCCACCAGGATGCTCCTTCTTCACAGAAATGGCCAAGCCATTGTTTTCACCTGTTCCCCTCCCTTCATGGTAAGTCAGGACCTGGAAGGGCAGAGAATTTACCCAAGTTGGCAGAAGCTCTGTTAAATCTGGGTACCTAGACCCTCATTCAGCTCTGTTCTGGGTACACCCCAACCCTTCCCTGGGTCAGGCCAGGACCCTGTGCAACCTGCAAAGCTGGGGTCGGCTTTTGTCAGCACCAGAGTGGGACCTGAGCAGAATAAGGCTAGGATACCTTCTCCCCTGCCCCTTTCCCTAACTCCAGGACGCGCATGCTTGGCAGCGGCACGGGGCCGCGCTCAGCACCACGGACAGCGGCGGGTGGGGGAGGGGCGGGCGGCGTAGCCGGGCCCCTCCCCGCGCCCTGGGGGGGGGCCCCGCCGCCCC